AGCACGCAGCCGTGCCGACATGCTGAATGACCCAAGCTTGTTCCAAGGTCGGGGGGCATACAGTCGTGGCCTTGCCAACTCACTGAACCGACCGGAAGCGATGCTCAAAGGTCAAGGGGCTCAGACGGGTCCTGGAGCCCCGCCGGGTCGGACTCCTCCATATATATTTAGCCTTCATATTTAAAAAAGCACAGCCTAGGGGGCCTGTGCACAATCTTGGTCTAGATGTGACCAGCTGAGGCAGTGCAGTGGCCAATGGACAGTGACCTCACGTCACTACTGCAGTGTTAGGGTTTCAGTTGCTCCTACCCAGAACACTTCTGCTCTGCAAGAATATATAATAACTGATTGATGTGTCCTTTTAAGATGAGAAAATGGAAACCAAACAGCCAGAGGAAACCTTCCCCAACACTGAAACAAATGGTGAATTTGGCAAATGCCCCGCAGAAGACATGGAAGAAGAGCAAGCATTTAAAAGATCTAGGGACACTGATGAGATAGTTGAATTACACATTCTACTTCAGAGCTGGGGCAGCAATTGGAAAAGGAGGCAAGAATATTAAGGCTCTGTGAACAAGACTACAACACCAGTGTTTCCTGGACAGCAGTGACTCCGAGCGCATATCGAATATCAGTGCTGATACTGAAACAGAAATTTTCAAGAAAATCATCCCAACCTTGGAGGAGGGCCTACAGTTGCCATCACCCACTACAACCAGCCAGCTCCCGCTTGAATCTGATGCTGTGGAATGCTTAAATTACCAACACTTATAAAGGAAGCGACTGATTGCAAGTTGAGACTGTTGATTCATCAGAATTTGGCAGGAGGAATTACTGGGGTCAAAGGTGCTAAAATCAAAGAGCTTCAAGAGGACACTCAGAGAACAATCAAACTTTTCCAGGAATGCTGTCCTCATACCACTGACAGAGGTTCTTATTGAGGAAACCCTGATAGAGTGTGTAAAGATTATCCTTGATTTTATGAGTCTCCTGTCAAAGCATGTGCACAGCCTTATGATCCCAGTTTTTATGATGAAACCTACGATAATGGTGGTTTTACCATGATGTTTGATGACTGCCATGGATGTCCTGTGGGATTTCCCATGCGAGGTAGAGGTGGTTTTGACAGAATGCCTCCTGGTATGGGTGGGCGTCCCATGCCTCCATCTAGAAGAGGTTATGATAATGAGCCTTCGTCAAGGACCACCTCCTAGACCAGAGGGCCAGGGTGGGTGGTAGCAGAGCTTGGAATCTTGCTCTCCCTCCACCACCACCTAGAGGAGGAGAAGGTTTCCATTATGACAGAAGAGGACTACCTGGAGACCATTATGATGGTGTGGTTGGTTTCAGTGCTGAAGAAACTTGAGATTCTGCAATAAATACATGGACCACAGGGTGACTTTGGATATGGTTATTCCTAAGCAGGGGGTTGTGGATCATATGGTGATTTTTGGTGGACCTGTTATTACTACACAAGTAACTATTCCTAAAGATTTGGCTGGTTCTATTATTGCCAGAGGAGATCAGTGAATTAAATTTGTCATGAATCAGGAGCTTCAATGGAAATTGATGAGCCTTTAGAAGGCTCCAAAGATCAGATCATTACCATTACAGGAACACAGGACCAGAATGCACATTATTTCCTGCAGAACAGTGTGAAGCAGCATTCTGGAAAGTTTTTCTAAGACTAGTGAAGAACTGAAGGAGTCCTGCATCTTTTTTTTTTTTATCTGCTTCTGTTTAAAAATCCAACATTCCTTTGCTTCATAGGTGTTCTGCATTTGAAGTGTAGTGAAATCTTTGCTGTTCACCAGATGTAATGTTTTAGTTCCTTATAAACAGGGTTGGGAGGGGAAGCGTGTGTAAAAGCTAACATTGAAATTTTGGAACAGCAGCAGAGTGAGTGAATTTTATTTTTGTTCATTGTTGGTGGTTAAAAAGAAACCCCCGCCCACCCCCATGTAATTATTGTGAACACCTTGGTTTGTGGTTACTGTAATAG